TCCTTCCTTTCTGACTTCTTTCCTCTTTGTGTTGTTTCCTTTACTCTGTCTTCATCTAAATGGTCAGACTCCTTGTTACCTAATTTCTATTTTTTTTCTTCACATTATTTTTCTTACTCCACATTATTTTTCTTACTCCACATTATTTTTCTTACTCCTCTTTAAAAAGGGTTCACCCAAAAATGAAAATTCTGGAACGACATGAGGGTGAGTAATTAATGACAGAATTTTCATTTTTGAGTGAACTAACCCTTTAAGTATTTTTTTCTCTTCTTTCCAACTCTGTTCTTTTGTTATACATTCCCTTTCCTTTTTTCCTTAAAGTTTTTTTTTTCCCCCCCCTTTCTTTATTCCTTTCTATCTTATATTGTTTTATTGCTTGTAATAAAGATTTAAATGCAAAAGAAAAGGCAGTAGAGCTGACTGTTTCTGTCAATGGAAAGTTTTAATTTAGAATGTTTATGATCATGTAAGAAAAGTATTTTAAATGTTTTGCTTTAGCAACTTAATATATAAATCTAGAAGTAAATGCAAAAGTAAAAAGCATTGAATAATTGATGAAAGATTGTATTACTGTACTGTGTAAAAAAAAGAATCACAATGCTGAAAAAGCATTTTAAGTAACAATGTTTGGATTTAAAATCAAAATAATGGATAAATGTTGTGTTTGTGGTAAACAGCCACGGATCAGGAGCACACTCCTGTGTGAAAGCACAGTCCGTGCTGCTTCTACCACACATGGACTACATACGCACTGCAAACGGAGTATGTGTGAACCTCACATACAGCTCACAAAATCAGGCTTGCGCTGTGTAAGCTATTGTGCAACAATTACACGATTGTAAAAGCAAAAATGCAGTGCATGATCAAATATTTAGGTGAGATAAATATATATATTTGAAAAATGTCCACCCCTCAAGTGAAAAAAAAAAATCCTCTCACAAGAGTCACCTAAGAGAGGAATTCATTTTCAAAAATGAAATTCAGGCCCTGAATAAATGTCTAAAAATCTTGATTGGATCATCACCATAAATAATTCTACATGATAAAAAGAAGGCTTTAAAAATACCGGTATCGGTGATCATATTGGTATAGTATTGGTATATGGTAAGATACTGCTTTCTGTGATCGGCGATCGGTGATTGGCCTCAAAAATCCAGCTAGCACCCCTACTATTTATATGCATATTCACTAATTATGAGAAGCATACATGTAAGAGGCTGACAATTAGCTGAACACATACTTGTTTAATTAGTGACACTTAGCCTGCATTTTAAAATCTTTATTTGAATGTGGCAACATTTTTATTTTTAAACCTTTTATCTTTACTCTAAAATCTTTCTATTAATAAATCTCTGACAGAGACTATCAGCCAATCACTCTGTGTGCATAGTTAGTAAGCATGCTGACATCATCCGTAGCAACGAGGTCAACCCCGCCCTTACTCTTAGCTTAAGACTTCTCTCTATTCCTTAGTAAAAGTTTGTCTCAGCAGCTTTGTGTATAGGTTTTAAGAGAAAACTCTCTGCTAAAAACTTTTACTGGTATTTAGGACTTCTAACGATTCTAATGGATTCACAAGTTTCAAAATCAATGTTCTAAAGCAGTGGTTCTTAATCCTGTTCCTCGCGTCCCCCTGCCCTGCACATGCTCTGCATCTCTCTGCAGCTCCAACAATGAACTGTTCCAATTATACACTTATTTTCACATAGCTATGAGAAGCGTTAAACACGGACGCGCGTGCAGTTGCCGTACTGTATTAAAGCTTTAATCAGGATAAAACCGTATATTAAAAGCTAACATAAGCA